GCTTAGCAAAGACCAAACAGGACAGCTGCAGGTGTGTTAGGTAGATGGTCTTGCTCTCTGGTTTCTACACCTATGGCTTATTTTTACTAGTGTGGGAAGGTAGCAGAGATTTTAGTAGTTTGCCAACCTGACTACACATAAAAACTACTGACAAGTTTAAAAATATAAGAGTCCTAGGCCAATCCCAGGAGATTTGTTTCAGTAGGCTTGGCAGTCTAGGTTTTTAAAATAGCTCCTACCTAATTCTGGTGAGGCTGGTCTACAAATGTAATTTGAAACAATTAGTCTACTGGTCGGGGTGTTATATTATAACTTGAAAACTTTGAAATCTATTTTTGCTTTTGCCAATGACTTGCTTGCTGTGTGACATTGGGCAAGTCACCTCCATGATTACTAGAGTGCAGTTTCCTATGTGTAAAATGAGATGTGTTTAGCTTCCTGTATTCCACTGGGATGAAGAAAATATGGGGAGCTGACAGTGAGTAGAATGTTTTAGGAATTGGTGTCCTGGCAAGTACTTTGCTCTAGTATTCAATGCCTTTGTTCTTCCAAATGCAAATCTATTCACTTCATGACTTGAAAGAGTCTAGTGGATTTTTTTTTTTTTTCCTTTTTTTGTCTTTTTTCGTGACCGGCAATGGATCGCAACCCTCAGTGTCGCGCCCGTACTGGACCGGGACCGGCAACGGGATCGCAACCCTCGGTGTTGCGCCCACACCTCGCTCAGCCAGTGAGCGGCCGGTCTGTATGTGGGATCCGAACCCTCAGCGGGAGCGCCTCTGCGCTCACAAGCGGCGCACTGTAGCAGTGCGCCACCGGGCCGGCCCCGAGTCTAGTGGATTTTGATTCATACATTATGTGAAGGAGTTGGACCATTGTGAATAAACCAGTTTTTTTCATTAATGATCTTAAAAGAGTTAGAGGTTGCTCCTCAACATCACCAAAGAAATGCAGAGGCAGCTATGGCACCACTGGAGATTAAACTCCTGCCATTGCTGTGTCTCAGTCAGTGTGAGCTGCTATAACAGAGAACCATAGACTGAGTGGCTTAAACCACAAACATTTATTCCTCACAGTTCTAGAGACTGGGAAGCCCAAGATCAAGGTGCTGGCAGACCCTTTCTTTGGTGAGAGCACTCTTCCTGGTTTGCAGATGTTGTCTTCTTGCTGTGTACTCACATGACAGAGTGCAGAGAAGGCAAGCTCTGTGTCTCTTCTTATAATGACACTAGTCCCGTCATGAGAGCTCCACCCTCGTGACTTAATTACCTCTCAAAGTTCCCACCTCCTAATACATCGAGGGTTAGGATTTCACCAAATGAGTTTTGCAGGGGACACAAACATTCAGTGCACAACACTAAGTGACTGAAACATGACCAGGATGGGTGGCAGGATTTGGGCTTCCATCCCCTTCAGGGGCCCTATGGGAAAACCAAACTTCTTGGAACTGGGAAGAATCCAGGACATCCTGAATTCCTGACACAATCACAATCACTTTTGGAACAAATTGGCCAGAACCAGCCATAAGTAGACAAGGGCGTCAAGCAGAATGAGACAGCCCTTGCTATTGGGTCATGAGGAACCAATCAAATGCCATGTGGGAAGTCTGAGGGTGGGATCTAGAGACCATCGTGTGATGCAGGGAGATGCAGAGGCTGGAGAGGCCTGTGGAGAGAGGACCATACAAGGCCAGGTTCTGTTCAAGGAAGAAGAAAGTAGGAAGAAGTAGAAACCATGAGGCTGAGAGGGGCACAGGAACCCCTGTAAAAATAAAAATGGGTCTTCTAGAGAATCAGGACTCTTCTAGCCTCTTCTTACTCCTGCCCATAGTGTCTCCTCTCGGGTCCAGGGGGAACAGTGTGAACCCTGCTGCATTTCTTACAGCAATCTCCCTGCTTGTAGGAGAGTTGCTGGTGGTTTGCAGTGCAGGGCCTGTCACATTGTCTGGGTGCCGCCCAAAACACCCAGACTCACTCTTCCCCATCCAGGTTTGATCTGTCTACCCTCACCCCTGAGGTTATTAAACTGGCAGGGAAACATATGAAATCGGCATTCTTGAGTGGTTCTTCGCTCTGGGCAAGGAAAAGGAAGACTATTTTCATGTTTGAAGTGTTCCAACCAATTCAGAGAAAAATACCACATGAAGTCAAAATATTATCATTCTGGCCAAGCAAGGGTTTTCCTTTATAACCATGCTGACATGTAAGGTTTTTGCAGCCTTGCCTGTCCCCTGGTGTCAGTGGTACTGCCTGCTCACTCCAGCTGGGGGGTGTCAGTTCATCAGAGGTGGGGGGAGGACTTCATTTGTGGGAGGTGGTAGAAAGAAGAGAGTCCCTGGGAGCATATAAACTCGTAATGTGAAGGAAAAGTAAAATATCTAGTCGAGGAGAGAGACAAAAGGGAGACTCATTACAGTAAAAAGAATTGCAAACCCTTCATTGAAAATAGATTTGGAGAGACATTTTTAAATAGCATCTTCCTTGAAGGAAAGAAGCTATATACTAAAGAGTACATACTGTGTGATTTCATTTGATAAATTTCAAGACCAGGCAAAACTAACGTATGCTGATCAAAGTCAAAAGAGTATATGTTACAGAATGCTGTATGCTGTGGAGGTAAGGTGGGGGTTAACTGGAAAAGAAAACAAGGGGGAATGCTGAGGGGCTGGAAATGTTCTGTATCTTGATCTGAGTCATGGCTAGCCAGCTGTATTCACATGTAAAGATTCCCCAAGCTGTATACTAAGATGTGTGTATTTCTCTATATGTAACTTTTTATTCAATGCAAAAATTTTAAATCTTTTTTGCCACTCTTATGGATGTGGCATCCCATGTGGGATGTTCAGTAGGATGGAGTCGCTGTCAATAATCAGAGTGAACTGTGGAGCATGACAGAAATAGTCAAACCTGATCCCCAGAAAGACCACGGGCTTTGGCAGCAAGCAGCCCTAGGCCCACGTCCTGTCTGCCGGATTTACTGTGAGTCTTGGAGCAGGCTTTACATCGCTCTCAGGCTCAGCTTCCTTCTCTAAAGTGTGGATAATAATATTACCTTTAAGTGTTGTGTGAGGAATTCAACAAAATAATGTGTGTAGGTGTCTTGCCAAACACCTGTAGCATAGCTCAAAAATAGTATTATTAATAGATAGTAGATACATATCCATATAAACTATGATGCTAAAGAATTCCAATCATAAAGTCAGATTTCTATCCTAAAATATTCCTGGGAATAAAGAATGCATATAAATAATTATTTTATAATACATAAAACACATTACTAAGTAGATATTATTAAAATACATTAACCAAAGAATTCCAATCATAAAGTCAGATTTCTATCCTAAAATATTCCTGGGAATAAAGAATGCATACAAATAATTATTTTATAATACATAAAACACATTACTAAGTAGATATTATTAAAATACATTAACTATTAAAATATTTTATTATTAAAATTATTTAAAATCAAATGCAATCTGTGATGTGAGATCTTTGGCAAGTTACTTAACATCTGTCAGTATGTTTCTTTATCTATAAAATGGGGATAAAAATACTGATTCATTAAGAGCATTATGATGATTCAGTTTGTTATAATATGGAACTGGTCTTGTGATGTGCCTGCCCTTCAGTTCAATTTAGCAAATATTTATTTAATGCCTAATATAAGTCATAGATTATTTTAGCACTTGGGAATTAAAAACAAAAATAAGACACAACCTCTGCCTTCTGGAAGCTTTCAATCTAGTGGGAAAGACAGATGTGCACATTTATAAGACAATGTGGTAAATGTTACACTAGCATAAAATTAGAGTACTGGGGAAGCGCACTGGAGGCATTGTACAATAGCCAATTAAAGGGCTGCATGCACGGGACGGTGGGCATATTTAAATTTGAAAAGGGCATCATGACACTAGAAAATAGCAATTTAAGGCTACCACGTGGTTGAGAGTCAATGGCCAAAGAGTTATTTATACTTTGAATCACAAGTTTATCTGAATCAAAAGTGGATATGTTAAAACAGTAATTCCACTGACTCACATGCACCTCAAATGCAATCTGTCTGGTTGGGGTCACGCCTGTGCGTGAGAAGGAGGGGAAGTTCTTCCAGGGCAGTATTGAGTCAGGTCTACTTCGAAAATCTGGTGAAAGATATAAACCCTTCGTAAGGAAAAAAATGGACTTGTAAACAAACAAAACAGTTGTAGTACTCTCAGGGAAATACTGGTCTTCTGAAGGTTAGGTTAAGAGTCTCTGTTTAAAAGGAGGACTCATGGGCCGGCCCGGTGGCGCACTGCTACAGTGCGCCGCTTGGGAAGCGCGGTGGCGCTCCCGCCCGAGGGTTCGGATCCCACATACAGACCGGTTCCCGCTCACTGGCTGAGCGAGGCGCAGGAGCAGCGCCGAGGGTTGCAATCCCGTTGCCGGTCCCCGGTCCGGTACGGGGGCAACACTGAGGGTTGCGATCCGTTGCTGGACATGGAAAAAAAAAAAAAAAAAAAAAAAAAAGGAGGACTCATAATACTGCACTTCTCCCCTCTCTGAAGAACTAGTCAGTATTAGCAACTTCATCAATTATATCTCCTTAACACTGATGATCCTCAAATCACTTCTGATTCATCCCCTGACTGTGTGATAACCTTTTCTGTATTCCATCCTGCCTGGCATTTCCCAGTGTACTTAGACGTGAGACTTCTCCAAGATGGAAATCTCAAAGAAAACTCAACTGTAGACAATCTAGATGCTGTGCTATTTATCAAACTCTCTTGAGAGTAATATATCAGATATTACTGTACAACACCTATGACTACCACTGCTAATAAATAGACAGTATGTGCAGTTCTGTGACTTAGAAATTAGACTGGGGTGCTGGGACCTTTGGCTGACAAGACCATCTGCCCCTGTCTTTTTGCTCACCCCTATCACATGCTTCTGAGGATCCAGTCCTCTCCCCTGCCTCCTTCAGGGAATCTGACGGGCTATTTTGTTTTTTCTTATCAGCAAGTTCCTGAAGGTACAGTGCCTGGAAGGTGGAATCTGGGAACAAGGCAGCTGCATCCCTGTGGAGTGTGAGCCCCCTTCTCCTGTTTTTGAAGGCATGTATGAATGTACCAATGGCTTCAAGCTGGACAGCCAGTGTGTGCTCAACTGTAACCAGGAAAGTAGAAAGGTAGGGATGACTTCTTGAACTTTGCTTTGGATGAGGCTATGTTCTAATCTTGGTGGTCAATTCAAGAATGTTGGGTATAAGTGATTTGAACAGGCAGGGCCTTACCAAGTTGGAATTCTAACCAGGGTGTTGATATTATCTGATAGGGAATTCAGAAGGTACCATGTTTATGGAATGTTCTCTCCCAAGTTCAGAACTTCCTCTGGGATAAGAAGAAATGATGGGTTGAGTACCTGGGTATATCCTAAAATGCTGGGATCCTGGTTTGGCAATGTGATCTTTTCTCATGCATGGTTGCTGACCTTAGTTGGCTGGAAGTCCTAGTATAATGTTTTTTGGTTTTTTTTTGGTTGTTGTTGTTGTTGTGTTTTTTAGTAGAACAGAGTCCTGAACAGAAACACAAATTCCTTGGCAAAGCCGAAAGTGCTCTTTGACTATTATCCTACTAGGATTTTGATGCAAGAGGTTTCAAATGAAAACCACAGTCTTATCGTGGTTGTGTGACTCAAATCAATTTTATTTTAGAACCTTTTTAAGTACCACACACATACATGAGACAGGAAGTCAAGCAGACTTCCTAGGCAAAGATCAATGACCTTGATTGCTCCGCTGGCCTGTGTCTTTATCTTAGTGCCCAGCACTCCGAGGTAAGCACTGAAAAACAGATGTGAACAGAATATGCAATAAAACGAGACCCCTGAGAAATCAAACACATCTGTTTGTGCTCATTGGTTGAGGAACCAAGGAGCTGGCCAGACAAAGGGAGGATTATCTATTTTGCTAAAGTCTTACTTTCTTGGGCTTTGTGAGTTAGTGCTACTCTCTGTGTTCTTGACAGAGTCTACTTTGAGATTATTGGGGATGTGAAGCCAAGAGTTCCACAAACCTGCACACATGTGGAGAAAGGAAATAGAGCTTTGATGAGACCAAAAGCAACTATGTTGTATCCATCCAAGCAGAAAGGCAAAAACACCTTTAGGAAAATTATGAATTGGTTTCACTGAATGAAACTCATCTTGAAAAACCCTGACATTTGCCACAAGCAGCATTTGTGGGATAGTTGGATGAATCAATGCAAAACAACACCATCTGGGAAAAATTCCAAAATAACTCAGAATCCACGGGCTACAACTGATAGGTCATCATATCCTTATATCCAAAGAATACATTGTTAATAAATTCTGTTAATTTATTTATGACTTTGTTCATGATTCTGTCACACAAAAACAGCAAATAATTGTCTTGGGTTTTTTTTTTCCCCAATAACAAAATTGTTTATTGTTTGAATAATGTCCTTTAGTCCAGGTTCTAGAAGTTGAAGAACCATTTCATCAGGCCACTTTTACCCACCCTCAATGAAGTCAAAATGGTAATGGAGATATTCTTCACCTTTGATATTCTAGCTTCCCACCCTCTGCACTCAAGAAGGGCTGTGGACCCAGGAGTTCAAGTTGTGTGAGAACGTGCAAGGGGAATGCCCACCACCCCCGTCGGAGCTGAATTTTGTAGAGTTCAAGTGTGAACAGGGATACGGGATTGGTAAGGATGGGAAGGGGTGCTGAAGTCTGTTCCCAAGTCATCCTGTTGATAGGCCTAGCTGAGTCCTGAATCAGACACACTGTTCTCCTTGAGGAGTGGATGGAAGTCATATTGACTCTTAGCTGTTTCAGTAAAAAAATAAATCTATGACAGATCTGCAGGGAGGAGAGTGGATAGAAATGTGGCAGGACTTGGAGTTGCAAGAGGAAAGGTGTGGTGTGTAGCCACACAGTGTGTGTGTGCTGGGATTCTCCATTCTCCCTGTGTTTGTTACTGGAGCAGAGAGTTCCTAAAAGGGACAATTTGAGATTGTAGTTGTTTGCACTGCTCTTCAGCCATTTTTCCCTCCAGGGGACCAGCCTCCAGACCCTTTGGGCAGCTTCTTCTTCAAGTAATTGCAAGTAAAGGCCTTTGTGGCCAGAGCTGATTTATAGCGATGTTGACTCTACTTTGCCCTGGCTGGTCCTAAGCATCATAGAAAAGAGTTGCAGTTTGTGCAAAGCCTCTTAAGATTACTCTTAAGTTCTGAACTGAGCAGGCAAAGAGTAATTTGATAGGGCATTCTAACCTGTATAATGCCAATGAATATAATCTGAGGAATTAGAAACCTCATTAGTTTCTGAAATGGTTCTTTAATATCTTCAAGGTGCTTTTTGCACTGCGATGTCTTGTGGTTAGGCATGAAGTATCACGGAGCTCAGATATGCTCCTGGTGGTGTTTCATAAACAAATTTTCATCCTTTAGGCCTCTAATTTCTGCATTAAAATATCATATACTCATATATCTAGAATCCTTAAGAGTGATGTAGTTCTTTTGATTATTATAAAAGTTACTGAAAAACATAGAAACATAGATTGGGAGCTGAAAAGAATCTTGGAGATTATCACATCTATCGATGAGAAAACAGAGAACCCTGAGAGGGTGTTTTCTTGGAATAGAATTTTAGTAGACTTTTGGACCCCACTTGCAAGGGAACACAGCAAGGTTTTCCTTTGAGAGACCAACGTATGGCCAGAGTCTCTGCTTCTGATTTTCCATTGCTTCCTCCTCTAATCACTTAGGTTTCTTGGCTGCCAATGCAGTGATTGTCAGTGTAGCAACAGACAGGATATTCCCTGGGGTAATTTCATAATTTCTTGGCCTTTTTCCCCCCATTTAGTCAAGACCTTAGGTAGTAGTTGCTACAATTGTAAGCTTCCAGGAGACCATATAAGCAGAAATGATATTAAATATACTCAAAAGGCATCAGCGAATGAGAATAGATTTTGGTGAGCTAGAGTCCTAGAATAGGGTCTTGGAGGTCTGCTGGAGCTCCAAGAGTTAATTTCTTATTTGCTATATGATGTAGACATTCAGAGATCCCAGTGGAGGGGTTATACTGGACCGGGCATAGGAGGGGGCACTCGGGGCAAGGGGAGTTAACTTCAGGCAGTGGTTCTTTACCAATTAGGGGAAAAGTATCCCCTCAGATACACAGTAGATAAATGTTATCCCTACCTATAACCATCATAATGTGATGGCCCATTGTACAGAAAGGAATTACTCTTGGAAAATCAAAGCTATTGCTTCCAGGATGATAAAGATTGAGGCCTGAGAAGTTGAAGCCTCTGTTGTAAATTTCTGTTCCTTCAGGTGCGGTGTGTTTCCCATCGTGTGTAATTCCCCCTAGTGATCCTGTGATGCTGCCAGAAAACATCACTGTGGACACTCTGGAACACTGGATGGAACCTGTCAAAATCCAGGTAAGGAAAGGGACGTTTTTCTGTGCCAAAGAGGTAAGGCGTCCTGAGCAGTTCTCAACTGACAGGATATCCCTTGGGGTAATTCAGAGGCTTTCAAAACACCCTTAAAGCAAACAGTCACATGGATCGTTCCTAGAAAGAAGGATTAAACCTCCAGGGGAGAAAAGAGGAAAGCTTGAGAAAAAAGATGGCCCCCATCTAAAGGAAAGTTTAAAAGATGAAATAAGAGGAAGGCTCAGAAACATAAAGAGCAGGAAAGAAAATGAAAGAGGAAAATTACTACTGATGAATAATAGGACAGGAAAAGTTAGGATAAGCCAAAGAACTGCATAAAAATGAAAGAAGGATGGAAAGGGAAGGATGGATTAGAAAAGATGAAAATAAAAGTAAAAACAGAAGAGAGTGAGTAAAGGAGCTGAGTTAGAACAGAATCGTCTTTCCTGTCTCCATCTCCCACCCTTTCTAAACCCTTTCCCTGGTCCCTCTGCTATTCAAAATGCACCATCAGCAAAATCCACTGCATTCTCAGCATCTTCCCGGGCTTTCCATAGGCTTTCTTTTCCATCTGAGACCTGGCTCTCTCCTGAGGACTCTGGTCCCTGCAGGGGTCTCCGGTCACTGCTTTCTCTCTCCCAGCCTTCCTGCCCCTGGGCCTGGGAGAGGGCTCGGTGTCCGCCTCTCTCTTCATTGCCACTTCCAAGCCATTTTCTCTCCTTCCTCCCTAAAATCACTCACATTTGAATCTAATGCCAACAGTATAAGCCACTCACTACCCTCGCCCCGAAGTCATATTCTGACCCTTAGACCACCCCGTGCCCTTACTTCTTAAAAACTTTAGTTCCTGGTCATAGTCACTTTAGCTAACCCTCCTATCAGAACTCTCATTGATTTCCACATCTGTACATTTGAATCTTCCAGAACCTGGACTCTCAGTTCTGTGGCCTCCTTTCACCAGTGACCACCTTTCCCTTTCTGATTTGCTTGGCTCTCTCTAGTCTTGCCATGATGGCCTCTTGGCTGCTTTCTGAACAAGCCTGGACACTCCTGCCTTGGAGCCTTTGTGAGTGTGGTTCCCTGTGCCAGTGTGCTCTTCTCCCAGGTGTCCACACGTATTCCATCTTCACCATGGCCTCTTGGCTGCTTTCTGAACAAGCCTGGACACTCCTGCCTTGAAGCCTTTGTCAGTGTGGTTCCCTGTGCCAGTGTGCTCTTCTCCCAGGTGTCCACACGTATTCCATCTTCACCTGTTCAGATTTTTACTCAGATGTCAGGAAGGCTTTCTCTGGCTATTCTATCTAAAATTTTAATTCCCTCTAATACTTTCTGTCCTTTATTTTTTGTCTGTAATTTTTTCTGTCCTTTTCCTCCTTTATTTTTTATCCTCAGGATTCATCATTACCAGGCATATTATATATTTTACTTATTTATCTTATTTATTGTCTCTTTCTGTCACTAGAATAAAAAGCTCAGTGAGGGATTATTGTCTGTTTTGTTCATTATTATATCACCAGATTCTAAAAATGGTGCCTAGTATATGGAAAACACTCAATAAATATTTGTGAAACAAGTAAATAAATAAGAGAAAGAAAAGGCTATGCAAGAGCCAAATGAAGAAGATCTTGTTGTAAGTTAGTTATTTCTTCTTAGAATGGGGGAGGGTGGATGTCAGAAAGCCTGGGAGCTTGGTGCTTTATTAGACTGTTTAACAAAATCCTCGCAAGGCTATTGCCATAGAATCACCAAAAGACAGACCCTAGACATATACCACCTTTACTTAGAAATCACTTGCAGGTCTTTTCTTTTTCCTCGAAGAGCCAAATGAAGAAGATCTTGTTGTAAGTTAGTTATTTCTTCTTAGAATGGGGGAGGGTGGATGTCAGAAAGCCTGGGAGTTTGGTGCTTTATTAGACTGTTTAACAAAATCCTCACAAGGCTATTGCCATAGAATCACCAAAATACAGACCCTAGACATATACCACCTTTACTTAGAAATCACTTGCAGGTCTTTTCTTTTTCCTCACAGGATAATTATGTTTTATTATTGGCAGGGATTTGTGTCAAAGCAGGAAGATCAGGAAAAAAGTACTCTAAGTGTGGTTTGGGGTGACGGATGGGGAATAACACAGCTCTGTTAATTCAGCTAGTCATTCATTCAACAAAGGTCCATCTGGGCTTACTGTGTGTCATGGAACTGTGCTAGATTCTGGGACATGAAGATGAAAAATGATAGTCCCTCTGTTTAAGGGACTTACAACCTGTCTGTGAAAACAGATATTCACAATCATGCAACACAAGACATGGTTTGCTTATGGTGGAAGGTGTATGGGAGCACGTGAGAGGAAGCACCTGACCTGCTCAGGAGCTGAGTAGAGATGGGAAGGATCAACCCACTGACCAGAAAGCTTTTCCTGTGGATCTTCAACTGTGATCAAGAGGAACACTCTAGAGGGTGGGGAGTTGTAAGAAGTTCTGTGTGGCTGAAACCAGAGCATGTGTGGTCGCGATGGAAAGGGGAGATGACAGTGAAAGGATGAGATGGGGAGAGGCAGGCAGTCAAGTGCCAGCCCCACTGCATGTCCCTCTTAGGAGGCTGAGCCTGATGAGAACTCTGAGCACAGGTGGAGCACACCACACGTGCAAGGGCAGTTTGCAGACTGGACTGGAGTGGGAAGGAGAAAGCCAGAAAAACGCCTCAGCTCGTTCTCCCGTCCCCTGGTCTATCCAGACTTTAGTCCCACTGCCCAGTCTGTTGCTAAGGTTTAGCTGAACTGCCGTAGCTGGAGTTACAGTGCTCTGGAGAAAGAGCTTTTGCCTCATGTTTCGTGGTGCACCAGATGGTCTAGACCCTTTCTTTCAGTCCTGTAAGCTCTACTTCCTATGATGAAAGATTTCTCTTTCTCTATGAGCTTCCAAAGAGAGAAAGGCTTGGACATTTACGAGCCTTTTCTTCCTCTTGAGACATAAAGTGCTTTAGAAACCTTTCTGCACCTACTCCACCATCTCGCCACAAGGTGTCTGATGGGAGCAGTCAATGGATGTGGGCTTAGTGAGCCCGAGTGTAGGTCTTACAGTAAGTGGGATTTCTTCCACCTCGGCTTTTCAAATAAAACGTTCAGAAAAGAATACTTTATTTGTCTGCATGGAGACAGCAGGGAAATCAATCACAGAGATTTGACCATCTCCAAACTGGAAAATTTTCTTCTCTATTTTATTAAAGCCTCCCTTTTATCAACTGTCCTTTGATAGGGGCATTGTTATTGTTTATCTCTGTTCCATAACATTTTGTTCATGTTTATAGTTCTAGTGCCTTTTGCAGTGTCTGGAATTTTGTAGGTATCTTATAAACATTGGTTGAATGAGCAAAGACATTGTTGTAGTACAACTTTTTACTTCAGAGGTGAATGTATATTTTCTCCTCCAACTGGGTGCATTTCAGCAGCCTCTTACTTCTGTGTATGATCATATCATTGTCAATTTCAAGTTGTCTGCTGCAGACAGAAAATGCAGAATACGTGCTTCTCCTAAGCCAGTACATCAAACAATATATCCTTTATTCCAAAGGAAAACCAAATGTTCATCTAGTTGTTAGCACTACTCATCATAGAGTGGCAAAAGAGGTGCCTGTTCTCCTTCTGCTCTTTCATGGATGTTACATTAAGGAGTATTGCTTGCAGACAAAGCTTGCAAGAGATGCTCTGGATTTTTTAAATTGAAACTTTATTGTAATAGAAAAGCAAGAAAAAGAAGTCAAGCAAGCAAGGGAAATGGTGATGGGATGATTGCCCTTATGAGCCTCAGGACCTCTAAAATGAGATTATGCACCAACTACAGATGATCTCATGATGTTTATCATTTTGTGGCACTCAGAGGTTCATGACGGGCATGAAATTTAACCTTCTGCTTATAAATAAGAAGAATAAACCAAATAAACCTCATAAACCAAAGCTGTTGTATTAAATAAAACTCCACATCGAGTAAAATCTTTATAGTTCAAATTGACCTATTTTGGAGGTTGCTCCATATTGTACTCAATCTTTAATTTTCTTGTTCTTAAGAATCACTTGGGCAGTATGTAAAAAGGAACAGCATAGATTTCACCTTTCAGAAAGGCTGGTGCTTTGGACTGTTCATCTTTAATAAGCACCCCAGGTAATTCCACTGTAATGCGTTGAGAAATACTACTCTTCAAAACAAAATACTGGCAACATAAATATTTTCAGTACAAGCACACCAATTTGGAGTATGGCTCATTTGTTTACTAAATGATGCTTGCCTATTTTATGAAAATGCGTGCTATCTAGCATATTTTAAATACCTCTGTATCTGGAAAGACTACAGAGCAATGGATTAAATTGCGTCATTTTCTTTAGTCTGCTGCCAATGACTTCATTCTTTGTAATAAAAAATGGTACCTTGTATTTGGGTAACACTGTATCATTTTGAAAATCATATGTGTGTGTGTCTGTGTAATGAATCTCATCACAAACCAATAAGTTAGGGAAGGAATATATTATTATCTTTATTTTATGGACACATTAGATGTTGCTGGATGATCTGTCCAAGATTGCACAGCTGTCAAAAAATAGAGAAAGAACTGCAACCAAGTTTTCTGACTCCAAGTTCAGAGTGATATCCTCGAAACCGATATCACTCTGTTTGCTGTTGTCTTTTTTTCTTTCCTGGTGCATGTTTGGGTTAGTCTGTCTATTGAATAGAAAATAAATCTCTCCTCTCAACCACAAGAACCATTTAATTTCCACACTCCCTTCCCCTCCCCATGAAGTCTAAAAAAATTGTAATTTTCAGAGAGGGATTTCCCTATAATATGGTTATTGAATAGAAAATAAATCTCTCCTCTCAACCACAAGAACCATTTAATTTCCACACTCCCTCCCCTCCCCATGAAGTCTAAAAAAATTGTAATTTTCAGAGAGGGATTTCCCTATAATATGGCTTTTAGTTATTGTGAAAGAATTTGTTTTTTGTGTTTGTTTTTAAGG